CCCCCGGGCCAATTAAAAAAAAATAAAAACCCCTTGGGGGGGGGGGGGGGGGGGTTAAAGGGTGTCATTGCGGAAGTGGTCCGGAAAAAAAAATCCCGTCCCGGGGGCTTAAGAAATAGGAAACCCCTGTAAAAGAGGGGGGGGGGGGAACCCGTCGGAAAATCGTTGGGGGGGAGAGGGGAAGTCAAAAATTTTGGAAACGCCCACAGGATGGCGCGGGCCAGGCCAGGAAAAATAAACAACAAAGTGGGGGGGGGGGGGGGGGCTCCGGCGTCGCGAGGCGAGGTGTGCGCCGCGCCGCGTCAGAGCACTCTCCTACGATCTTTCCGTCGAAACCAAAAGAAACGGTCACCGGGACACCGCGAAGCAGCCCGGGCAGCAACAACCAAGCGCGTGTCGTGTCTCCTTCATAGGTAGGTGGTAGGTGGGTACCTTGATGACAACGTGATTCTCTCCTGCCCTTCTGTAGTCCCCGAGGTAGCGAGAACACCGCTTCCATTCCGACACGTCGATCTCCGGAATACCGCACAACAGTAGCTCCAGCTCCTGCGGTATGTACCAGGGAAGGAAAACGTCGGTCAGGGTTATAGCGTCCAAGTATCAAGGAAGCAAAAACAGGAGAGAGAGAGGGGGGGGGGGGGGGGGGGGCAATTTCAAAAAACGGGGGTTCCCCCAAAAAATGGGGGGCCCAAAAAAAAAACATAAAAAAGCTTTCCCCCAAATTTAGGCAAACGGGTGGGGGGGGCCGAAGGAGGGGGGGAACCCCCCCCCCCTTCCAAATATTAAAAGGGGGGGAGGGGGAATTAAAGGAAACGTTTTAACCCACTCGGGTCCAAAACCCCCACCCCTCCCTTTTACCAAAAAGAAAATCAAAACGTGGTTGAAAACGGAAAAACCCACCATTTTCCCCCTTTTTTAAATTGAAACTTTGGGGACAGAAACAAAATTTGGGGGGCCCTGGGCCTCGGCGTGAATAAGAGGGCCCAACGCGCCCCCCCACCCAACCCCCCGGGTAACAAAAAACCCGAAAGGGGGGGGG